TATGGTTATCTGTTGAACTTAATTGTCTCAAACAGGTTGTCATTGTAAGCGTTCAGGATGCCTCAAGAACTACTGTGAATGTTATGAGGTATGTAAATTTTTTGCTTAAGAGAGATCTTCTTTAAAAGTCTACACCTCCATATGTACAATGTTGATCATAAGTTGTAAAGAAGGTGCCAATTTTTTCATTTGAGAAGCAGTTTTATCAATTTTAAGATTTTTTTTTCTTTAGGAATCACAATACAACTATTTAAGTTGTTAATTTGACTCTTTTCTGTTGATATTTACAGGCCAAGATTTTGTGTACAAATCTTTGTAAATGCACAGGATGTAAGAATTTTGAGGAAAGTCCCGAGAGGAAAACTCTCATGCACTTAGCAGATGCTGCAGGTGAGAAACCCTTCTTACATTTATGGGGCTTGCAATTCTAACAGCTGTTACCCTGATTAAGTATTCTTATATTTAATGAGAGGAAGTTATTGTTATTGCTAATTAACTTTGCAGTTTTGGTCTGAAAATACCATGGTCTTCAGTTTCATGTTTTTTTCAAGAACGGCATCCCTGTGGTAGATAGCTGTTTTTGAAGTCATGTCACTGAAATTTTCACAAGTGGTATTGCCTCAATTACCAAAGGGCATGAAAAGGATTGAATCAAGAACATTTTTTAGAGATGACAGTAGGGAAATAAAAACAACTTTCCACTGAATTTGGACTAACTGATATTTCATATGGGTACACGTACAAGTTCTGTTTCTACTCTTCACAGACGGTTAGAGACCTAGGCAAGTCCTTCATAGGCAACTCAAATAAGCGTAGACTAGGGGAAAGTATGGCGGAAAATTTTACAGGAATACTGGCATGTGATTTGTTTTAGCATTACCCAGGTTTGCTCTGTGATCCAACGTGCAAATGAAACAAAAAACGCATACAAACACCTTTTGAAGGAAGCTATTTGTATGGATGTTTTTAAAGGCTGGTTTAGTTTCTTTTATACACACGAATAACGAAGTTAACTGCCTTTTGCACTTGGGGTTTTTCCAGAGGTTCGTGTAAAGCAACAGAATGCTGCCCGGACCAAGTTGGAATCTCAAATAGAAGACCTCCCATCCCGCCCAACTTTCTTAACAAACTCTGGAGAAAGGTCAGTTCTAGGTTTAATTTGAGTGTGCTCGAGGATGTAGTGTATCTCCTGAAAGCAGAGCCACCCAATCAAAGGGCAGTACTGTAACAACAGATTCTGATATTTTCAAATTCAGCCTATCAACTGTCGGGTAATCTCAACTTGCTCGTTAACCGGTGATGTCTACGCCATTATGGTATCGGTTACCTTTAAGTTGAAGGCGTCAGTTTGTTAGAACTTCCACGTGCTTACTGCTAGTGGAAGTAAAAAGTGAAATAATTTTAGGTTGAACTTGTTTTCTATTGAGAAAAAAAATCGTGTAAAAAAATCTACAGAATCAAAGGAAGTGGAGAAGAGTCTCACTCCTTCATTAAGTTCACGCGAGGTGTCAACGGAATCCTCTCAAATTTTCTCGTGTGGTTGGCCTAGTTTTTTCATACACTGTAATGTTGTATGAAGTGTAAATTTAATTTTTAAGAGAAATCCAAGGAAGTTGTCCTCTCTGGTGGGAATTTCATGTGTTTCTCTTGTTGTTTTATTTTCAGACTTCCTTTCTCGTTTGTAACAGATGAAGTAGTACAAGTAACCTGTCAGTGTCTCCTGGAGCAAGCCTCAGAGGCAGAAAATGTATGTTTACCGCCGGCGTTCTTTATTTTCATGTTCTCATTTAAGAGTGAAATTGTAACCGTTTGTAAAAACGTTTTCCAAGTGGAGTATGGTGCCATTGTTTTAGTCAACGATGGATGTGCATCGGGACGTCTAGCTCCTTTTAGTATACGACAAAAATGGTTTTTTAACTAAAAGAGAAATTTTTCCTTGCGAAAAGAGGTGGAAAATAACACGGATACAACGAAACTCGTTGTAGAGAATCTATTCTCTATATAGAGGTCATGTGAGGCTTTGTAAACACGGAAAAGCCTTCCATTGCTTTTATAAAGTATTTCTTAGAAAGTGCAGAAAAGATGAAGTCAACCAAGTTTACGTTCTTTTATGCAAACACACTTATCGACCAAAAGGGGCGCGCGTGCGATCTTAGATATTTTGTATAAATGTTTCTGTAGTAACCTCATCGAGTACAGGACCATGGCTCAGACAAATCTTTAGACAACACGAAAGGAAGTTCGAAACTCACCTTTTACACCTTTTGCTGTTCATTATGAGAAATACGCATTTATTTGCGTGAAAAGGTGAACAATTGCGTGAAGATGCATTTATTAGGGACAAAAGAAACAAAAAAAACCATCATTTGCGCGTGAATCCGATACATTGACGATTTTTGCATTTTAATCAGCATTCGCTAACAATTTTGGACATTCATATGCGTCATTCGTCATAAAAAGAGAAAAATATGCTTTCATTTGCGCTAACCTTCAAGTCATTAACACCATCTTAAATGCCAGTAGAGACAATACACAAACAGTATAGTGCAGAAACCATAAAATTTTTATCACACTCTTTGCAATTCAACAGCATTCCTGGACAACATTAGGGTGAATAAGATAACCACTAAAGCGCTTGTACAAACAATTGAGTGTCTTTTTGCATTCAAAATGCAATTATCGATTTTCAATTGAACACCTATTTTGTCTGATTTAAAAAAGTTAGTAAATTTCGTTAAGTTCATTCGCTTCGTGAACGTCACCCGGCCGCTAGCAAAGAAAGCAACCACGAAGAAACCAAACACCACTCGAACACAGAGAGAAAAGTAAGATGATTCTAGGACCAGGAGGAAGACTATCTTGTCGTCGCAGACACGCTCGGAGTGAACCGATCAACGGCAATAAACATCGTGGTGCCTTACATCAGAGAGGGCAGGATCCAGGGAAGACCACGAGGTGGTAGAAACAACGTTCGCGTGGACGATGAGATGAGAGATTGCCAAGAGGAAATCATCAACGAAAACTGTCTACTCACACGTGCTCGGATAAACAGTGAACTGAGGAGACGGCTACCACTCAAACCCGAGATTCACGACCGCACCGTGGCAAGGACATTGGACGGGATGCTGTTTGGAGTGAAACTGGCAAGGCCCCTCTGTGCTGACAGAAACAGACCTGATGTGCTGAACAAGCGAGTAGATTACGCAACTTTGTTTATGAATATTGAATGTAAAATACGCTCAATAGTTTGTAAATGATCGGTTTTTGTCGCAAATGAATGTAACTTCACGCAATTGTTCGACTTTTCACGCAAATGAATTTGTACTTTCTCGTACTGAACAGCAAAAGGTGTACAAACATAAGGGAGAAACAAACCAGTAAAAAGACATTTCTCCTCAAAGGCATTTTATCTGAAGTTATCATTGATTTCGGAAATCCCAGGAAGTGTTCTTAACAATCATTTTTAAACAACACGCGAAATACTTGTGTTGAGGCCTTTTTGCATCAGTCTCTCCACTTCATCCTCTCTTGACTCATTGGAGGCCCCTCTCTATAACCTCCCTCTGAGTAATTGAAGAACCTTTGTGTCTTAACCATCAGCTGGGACAGTCCCAGGCAGAGATAGAAAAAATGATTCTAGAAGAATTTGGCCGGTGCTTGCTGCAGATTATCCACACGGCGAATGGGACGAAAGGTGAGTTTTTTTTTGTATCGCACTACTTTCGATTTGAGAAACGTTTAACTAAGGTGATGCTTATGGTGTCGTTCTGTTAATATATTTTGATTGTTGTTCCCTGTGCTCATTTTTCTTGACAGAATGATTCCTGTTCTTGGTCGTCCAGCCAATCCTGCGTGCAGGGACTGCGTTTAAGTTATCACCCATTTGCGGATTTTATTATGTCTTTTTTCCGGCTCTGGAAACTAGACATCGTCGTCTGAATTTTTAACTCGTACCTATAGTAGTGTAAATAGAAAGTTTGCAACATTTTCGCCTGTTAACAATTTTGAACGCTCAGTGTAAATATAATGCTGTGTTGACTAAACTTGCTATCCTTGTGGTGCGCATGTTGCGCGGGACACCCGAGGGCCCTCTGAGGAAAACCCGTGGACACAAGAATCACTAGGAAACGTCTGGGACGTTAAAGAATTTTTATGGGATAGGCGTATGTGAGTTCTTGTAACTGATCTTCTCTGTACGTCATGTGTATTTCAACTCAATTCACTGTTGTTTGTTGTTGTCTATCCAGGAATAAAAGTCTGTTAATATATATATAGCACACCTCTTCTTTCTTTTCTTTTCTTTTTTTCTGAGTTCCCTGACCTCACTTTTCCCGCGCAAGTAGTATAGTAGAGCGGTTGCTGAAGATCATTCCCGCGCGTACAACCGCCCGTGATTTTTTCCAGTCTTTCCTCGCGCGCTCGCTGTGGTGGGTGGAAACTGAGTAGTGGGGTTTGGCAAGCTTTTCGTTATCTCGCTAGCAAACAGTCCTGTAGTTATTTTTTGTCGATCCAAGTGTGTCGCCGTGTTGCTTGCCAAGAGATTATGCAAACTTACAGCTTCCTCTCGCGATTGCCCATCAGGACGTGGTAGCCTGTAGTGGTAGTCAATTACTAATTCCTTGAGCATGTCCCTGATCCCTTAAGAGTCACCTCTAAGGAAAGGAGGACGCGCATTAGGATTCTAGGTTAACTTTGAAGCAAAAATGCGAACAACTTGGAGAAGACTGAGATTTTGAATTGAATATTGAAATAAAAATATGATCACAGTTATGTCTGCAATGTTGCGATAACGGAGTAGTATTAATTCCTATAAATGTTGGCGACGAAACCTACCCACACTCCCTTTTAGCTCATTCCCCAGCTAAGATAGTTTTAAGTCAGACACTACGCAAATTTACGGCAGGCGTGACGTGTTGGCGCTCGAAGCGCAATCTTGTGATCCGCCCGCGTTTCCGCTGCAAATTCTCATGAAAAAAAAAAAAAAGAATTAACAACTGAAGTACGTCAACACCGCAGTTTAATTAAAAAACTTGCAACTTCCATGCTTGAAAATAGTGTCCTTCAGTTTCCGTGCTACAAAAATATTTCATAAATTACTTGTACAATCAATATGACCACTCGCAAGTCGTTTGAAGTGTCTTGAGATCTTCTCTCAGGGCATTTCAGTCGCACTTGAAATAACAGTGCACAAAAATCCAAAATATATCTCTAAGGTTGAATAAATGCCTTTGTTCGACAGAAAAACATCTAGATTCTCCAAAGAGCAATACGCCACATGCCAAGCAAAATTTATACAACATTTGTATACTAATTGGAATCCTCAAGCCGAAATTTACAAAATGCCGATGTTATAAATAGAAAAAATAATCATTTCTCATTTCTCAATTACAAAAAAGGAATCGTTTCAAAACAACTATTTTTGTACAAAATTTGACCTTGACACTTTTAGATCTTCTGATAATAGCTAATTTTCGATGACAAGCTTGATTCAGTTTCAGTGAAAGTGTTCATTAGTTTTGTTTATCTTGTTTGTCATCGCTTTCATCTCATCATATTACAAATGAGAAATTTCAATTTTGTTCCAATTATCCGGAGAGGTAACTATTAAATGTCGCCTTTCTCGCAGTCTGTTGATGTGTTAGTTTTTTTTTCTGTTTTGCCCGCGGAAGTCAAATTTGAGAGGTATTCCTATTGAGCAGAGATTCATTAATCAGCAAAATGTCAGTGAAAATTGGGGATATGAGACATGATGAAGTGAAATTTTCCAAAATTAGTCCTTTTGACCTTCTGGTCGTCTAGTCAGCACTAGCAGTGGTGACCGGTGATGAGTCGGCCTCTTAAGCTAGTTGAGGAAAACAAACATGAAACTGCCTGGGATGGGTCCTCTTCATGACACTTACACGACGCTGGATCATGCTTGATATGCCAGCTTGGAAATTTTTAAGTCTTTCAAACATTGGTCTGATCAAGCTTTGAGAACGACGATTCTTCCTCTTCGAGCAGTGAAAGAAACTCCGAGGGGTTTTCGGGATCTCGATCAAGGTCTTTATCGTGAGATTTTTTCTTCTTTCCATTTGTCAAGCCTGGCTGCCAAGAATGTTCTGAGCCTTCCTCTTTTTCTTCTTCTCGCTGCACGACATTTCCGTTCCGTTTGTCATCATTCATTTCGTTTTCCAAATAGTCGATCTCGTTTAGAGTCTGGAGCTCGATTCCACGCGAGTCTCGAATATCCGAGTTGTTCATGACAGCTTCCGACGTCTTCCGAGAACCGAACATTACACTCAATTTTCTGGATTTGCTGTCGTCGTCTACATCTTGCAAACCTTGCTGCTTCAACTTCCGATTGCGGTACTTTTTATAAATGGCGTCGAAATTCGAGACAATTACTGGCACAGGTAGAGCAATCGCAAGCACACCGCAGAGTGCACAACCAGATCCAACAAGCTTTCCCCACACTGACTTAGGATACATATCTCCATAACCTACAGTTGTCATGGTAACAAGAGCCCACCAGAAGGCATCCGGGATACTTCGGAAGAATGTTTCTTCATCACCACTCTCTGCATAGTAAATCATACTTGAGAATATTACCACACCGATTACTAAGAAAAATATCAGGAGTCCAAGCTCTCGCAGACTCTTCCGCAACGTTAGTCCGAGAATTTGGAGTCCGCTAGAATGACGCGAAAGCTTAAATATACGGAACACTCGAACAAGTCTTAAAATTCGGAGAAAGGCGAGTGAAAATGTCTGCTCGCTGCTGTTTTTAAGTCCCAGTTCCACGTAAAACGGCAGTATAGCGAGTAAATCGATCACATTTAGAAAGGAACGTACGAACATCCATTTATGTGGACTAGCCATTAATCGTACTAAATACTCAAATGTAAACCAGCTAATGAATGCAATTTCAAGCTGCCCAAACACGTTCTTTACCGATGTCGCCAACTTGTTGTGTTCCCTAATTTCTTGTAACTTTGCCGTATCATTTGCGTCAACCCCTTCAGTTGACAGAACGATGAACTCGGGAAGTGTTTCTATACACAATACCACTATCGATGCCACGATTACTGAAACAGACAACAGCGCTAACACACGAGCCGCTTTGCTGGAATCGGGATACTCGAACAGTCGCCATATTATCTTTTGCGCTCTGTTCTCTGGCATTATTATTGCTTTCTCTGGTGGTTCATCTTCGTTCAGAATATCCTTAACCGCATTAACAGCTTGCTCTCCAAGTTCGAAAAACTCTACCTCTTCCAATAAAATCTCCGGAGCCAACTCTGGAGGGCAGACCAATCGGCCATTAGACTGATAGAAGTACAAAATTAATTCGAACACTTGAATGTTCCGATCAAAGAAGTATTCATCGCGTTCTTCGTCGTAATATTGTTTCCTTTTCTCTATATTTCCCAGAAGGGTGGTAGGAAACCTTTCCAATGTTTTGGCGTAAGTCATGTATCGGAATCCTGACACGTTCAGCACGATTCGACGATGTTTGGACGGCGAGTTATGTTTTCCATGGCCAGAAGAACTTTTAACTCCGCTACCCTCCCCAGAGACTTCTTCATCGCTGATTTCAGAGCCTTTTCCAGGGGCAGCTTGAGTTGTTATGTCTCTCTTCTTTAATCGTAACGTGATTGCTCCATGTGTACTCAAGCTTGCTCCCATTTCTCCTGTAAACAAAATAAATCGTACGCCATGAACATGATAGCCAACACCGTTCCTCAATGTAAAGCAACAGGTTTCTTGGGTATATATTTACCACTAGACGCCCATACCTAGTTGGATATTGGCATTGTGCATTACTGTCTATCGGCGTGCACAGAAAATCCACTATTCAACCACAGACGATACATATTACTCACCGCCGCATGCACTGATCAAGAATCAAGCACTCATGCGTTAATCAGAAGGAATTTGTTATCATTCCGATAACATGCACCGATTCAGCCAAGTTGACACAAACAGCACAGTTTAAATATTAACTCAGAATCTGATAATTTTACTGGCTTAGTGTGCTGTCCATTTCTTTAAGTGACAGTTGGGTACTTATTTACAAGCGGATATAGATTCCGGCTCGAAGGCCAGGCCACTTGTCATAAAAGGCCAGTCAATTAAATGCATTTGGAATAAATAACGTAAACAAAGCCAGCCATTCAAGAAAGTGAAATTATTGGCTAGACGATTTAAGAAGAATACTGCTTTCATTTGATTCACGAAAGTTCGGCTTTTTCCCTCTGGCCAACTAAGTCAGCTCTTGCTTTGCCATCGGGTATTAAAATTCTTAACTCCTCTTCATTACTTTCAGATTTTGACATCAATCTGATGGTTACGAAAGATTCGAGACACGTAAGGTCATTTAACAGTGGAAAGGAATGCTCTCCTATTTTCAGCGGAAACGAATGCTCTCTTTTAAATTGTATGTTCTGGAGCGTCAATCGTTTCTTTTGGCGCTAGTAGAGATATTTTGGAAACAGAGGTCGATATGCGACCACGTTCTTTGTAGCATTATTTTGTATTCGGGTTGACAAAGGAAATCGGCCGGATAATCTTTCTGTTCGCAGGCTCTCGAAGTGAGAGTTGATGCTGAAATTTTAATTATCTTTTCAAAAACGTCAATCCAATTATTTGTTTTGTGCATGGTTTGGTTAACCATGGTTAAGTTTGGATTCCTGGACTAATTGGCCTTAAAATCGATTATTGTTGTCCTTGCAGACTCTTCCGTCCTAAGACCAAGAAAACAACATATCTCGACATTATTTTCATGAATTCACAAGTGATGAGAACGTTGGAACAACAAAGACATTATCGAAAAATTTTTTTGTTTCAGCGATCACGAATTAATTAATTCATTGATTGCTCACGTACGCGTAATCGAATGACAATCAACTTTCCAAATTTAAAGGATTAAATCCGTTTTTCTTTGTGCTAAGGAGGACTATTAAAGAAATCTTGGGACACAGTTACACATTTTTTCTCGCATTATTTGCAGTATAAGGGTTATTTCTACTGATCTTAAAACGATGAAATACCATAAAAAAACTAAAAGTTAATTACCCTATAACTTTATGCCACTGATATGTGTTTATTTTTCCTATTAAAACGATAATCAGTTCGCGGTGACCAAAACTGCTCATAAGCAACAAATTGATTCGTACGTTCCACAAAATCAAAGAAGTTGTGCATGCATCTCCAAAACACAAAACAATTTATAGAAAATTTTTAGCCGCTCCCTGAAGGCCGTAAGATATTGATTGAGTTTTATATGAAACAAGAAATAAAAAACTCGCGTTCACGGAATCGTTCCTCAACTGAACGACATCGAAGTTCATAAATCTACAATGTCTACAAGCGTACCACTCTTTTGAAAACGAGATTTAATTGGAAAACGGCAAATGTGATTCTTTCTAGCCTGCTTGCTGTACAGTAAGCATGTTGTGCTGCAAGTACCTTACTTGCATGTCCAATTGCTCAGTAAGCAAATGCTTTTAAGACCTCCTACTAGCTCTAAGTACTTCTCGGTTTTAACAAAAAACATTTTCTGTTCGATTCTGCGAAGACATAACATACATTCATTGCGATTTAACACCAAACTGGAAAGAATTATTTTTTATTTATCGACTTCAGTCGCTCGACTATCCGATTAGATTTCATGTGATGAATGCCTTCTTTATCAATATCAAACCTAGAGCACGATGCGCATCGCTGCAAATTCCTTCTAGAATTTTCGATCGCATAAAACACAAAAGATTATAACCTACGACACTTAGAGTGTTACGGCTCACTGCTCACGTACATTCGCAGCTTGATAAATTCTAAATAGGTGTTCCTGATTGTAGCCTTTTCAGAGAATTATTTTTTGAACACGGTCTGAGAAGAAAGAACTGTGGGACCGAGAGACATTTTCATTTCGTTCGAAATAAAAATAAAGGCTTAAACCAAATGAATGGACACTTTTCGTGTCTGACAGTTTTGTTACTGTTAAAAACATAATGTCAGGCCATCAATCACTGAATTCTTGAACTGTGAAAGTTATTTATTTTTCGCTTTTATTATTACAAAAAAGATTAAAACGATCATACAATGAAGAAGTTCGCTCGCTTGTATTTGTTTATGAAGTGAAGTGTTGTTTATGAGTTTTTTTATAATCAGCCAATTTCAATTATCTCTCCAATTGAAAAGATTTACTTACAGGATACAGATCAGTCTTCAACCGGTGTCCGATGCAGAATAAAAATATGCTTTGTACCGTGTGGTGGAAAAATCCTACCTTAGACTCGAGATGGTCAGAAGATGCGACTTATTTAGGTTGATCACTTCTGAAATATGGCAATTAGTTCAGAGGGCAAACTAATAGAACAGTCCTTGACAGAAACATGTTTCAGAAAACGTCACCCAGAATGTCTACTTTCCAATCCGCTTTGCACATAGTGGGTGGGCATTTGCCTGCATGATCTGTTTAGGACTACAGCGAAGTGTGATCTATGAGAATATCTTCAAAGCCGAAGCTTTCTCTGGCCCGATCTCACTAGTAATGATTAAATAGCTTCACACTAGTAATTTATACTCTGATGTTAGGCTTCAGGATAAAGTCCACAAAACAAACAGCTACCGGCAGACAGTCACTGAGGGCTCATGAAAATACTCAAATCTACCAACCTTGGTTCAAGTAACACTGCATACCAACAAATAAGAAGGAACTGGCGTTTGACGCTTCTCGGGTTATCGCTTGAATTCATACAGACCAACAGAACATTTCAACTAGATGTCACTGATGTTTCTTTTCACGCCCCACTTGCTCTATGACAGTACGTGCAGAGTTGAGACATAAAACTTCAACTTGTCTTTAAATGCAATGACTTTTGGGTAGTAACTGTTGTATTGATTGAAAAATTTTAATTATTGCAAACATGTTTCGAAAACAAAATTCCTTACAGTCGGAAAAATAAAGTAAACGTTGTCGGCGACTGCCTCAATCTAAACAGAAAACACCGGAAATCTAACTAGCAGATATCAAAAATCGATTGCACACAAATCTTATCTTGAATTGACATTGCATTTCGCAAACCCCGTTAACATGTTTCGATACGGTTTTGGATTACTTATTGACTTCAGTTAATGGTTTCATCAACTCTTTTAAATCCGTAGACAAAGTCGGAAACATGTCAAGATAGCCCGCGTCGTGTAACACAGCGAATCACTCAGAAAGGCCGCCGAATGTGATGATATAGAAACACTAATGCGAACGAATGACTTTGTGTAGCTAGATTCCAAGCTATAAATCGTCCAGCACCCTGAAGAGAGGGGAGAGGGGAGTGCGATTAGGGGGTTCTTATCCAAATATTCTTGGAAAATCGCAGATTCAGCAGTAAAAGCTTTCAATGCCTCAAAAAGACAAACAATTTGGTGAAACAATCAAGCAGTTTTGTTCGTTTGAGACCAATAATTTCCGAAGTCTTGGTCGTCTTGTAAGGCTAGAGGCTATCTGACCGTGGAGTGCCTGATTCGTTTTCTCTTTTTTTTCTTTTTTCTAACTATGGTGTCCAAGGCCCTTTAGTTAACTGCCTCAGACTTAATTCTTTGCTTCAGCCCTTGAAATGAGGAAAAATACATGCGTCATTTATCAATTGGCGACTTGCCGAGGCTCCTTGAGTCATTGACACCCCTAGATTACCTACAGGATAAACATTACAGCGCATTAGGTTCATTGTCTTTCTAAATTCGGCAGTGGCGTTCAAATCTGGCGAAAGTAAATTACCTAAGGCTGAATTTATCAGCCACGCTGAGGGATAAGTTTAAATGCAAGCTTGACTGTCTTGACTGTATGATCTTCGGAAAGCTTTTTATTTGGGATATCAAGCCTTCGTTAAACACCCAGACTGACTCGATTCGCGCCAAACTATTTACATGACACTTAGTCGTTATTTGACCTTTGGGTATTGTACCCACGGGAATAAAACACTTTTTTCCCTAATTGTTTTATTAACTTTTTTAATTTCATTTTTAATCAGTTTTTCACTTTTCACTTGATAATGACGTGAAGTAACGTCTAAACGTAGTCAAAACATTTTGCGAACAGTTTTCAAAAGTTGTTGGAGTTTTATGTACTTTAAAAACATTCCATAGAGAGGAGCAACTTCAGAATACCCCGCAACTCATTTACATGTCATTGAATAAGAATAGCGTCTATTGTGTTATGCCTCGATCTTCAAAGCCTCCCGACACATGTAAGTGAGGCGGACCAAAGTTGCGGGGTATTCTGAAGTTTAGCCCCCCTCGCAAATATTTTCATTTCTTCCAGTGACTTTTATGCTTGAAAAGCTTTTACATGATATTGTCAAAAGAAATAATTTTCAGCGTTTCTGTCTGAGAGTAAAAGGATTATCTATCACTCCTTTGAAAACACGATTTGAAAAACTAAACATTGGTCATTAAAATCGTTTGAAATTAAGGGATTAAGCCTTCTAATCCAATCAATCACGTGCTATTTTTCCATGCATCGTAAGAAGAAAGTGTCGTGTTATTTTGACGAAATATCTGCAGGCTGAAATAGACAACCAACCCTTGTCTGGTATTTTAGCTTGTATATTTAAGCCATCAGCAAATTATTTGTTGTTCAGTGTAGTTTGTTTGCTTCTTTGAAACAAGATTGACATCAGTTGAAAAGCTAAAGGCTGCGATAGTTATATCTTGATTGAGTCTGCTTACGCACAAAATTTATCCCATGCAAGTTTTCTAGTGTAATTTCTTAGCCTTTTTATCCGTTTCTTTACGAAATCAGTAGGTCAGCGAGGCATTCCACCCATCAGGGCCGCTTTTTTTTCTCAATTGGAAGCAAATTATACAGTTAGCACTGCAAAAGGCTCTAGAATTTACGCATTTAATCATGATCGTGCACTTTCACGACAAAAGTTTTCTATTAAAAATATTTCCCTTTTCTTTTTCGTTCACAAGATCTTTGCAGTGGAGCAGGAGACTAGATAATCTTATACGAATGACCCCTCATCCGCGAGAGGGTTACGCCCGACAACAGATTCCAA